GCTTGCCTGCCTGCATCAGGTCGAACCTCTCGCCATGTACGTTTGTCAGATGCGGATCACCAATGGCGGACGCCTGCGGCGTTGGTGCTGGGGTCGGCGCCCGAGCGTAGGAGAAATACGGGCTCGCGCACGTGTTCCCGGGCACGGGCGTCCCCGAGTCCGCCTATGCTGTCTTCCATCGGCCGCCGCCGCCAGTTGGACGGACGTCCATTCCCTGTCCGAGCTGTGTGGGCCATGCGCACTTGAAACAAGAAATCGCCAGCTTCCCAACTGATGGGAAGGGGGCCCTTCGATGCTACAGCGTCGCGCCGAGGCCGGCACAACCGAGGCAAGTCGGCGAGAACGTGGGGAGGAGGAAAACGAGACGACGACGACGAGGACGACAAGCCTCGCTTGCCCAGTTGTCCATCAGACCAGCCTGGTTGCCCCCCTGGCCAGCGCCGCCGTCGCACGTGAGCATCGTCGACGCGCGGTTTTCAGGCGTTGGTTCATACACACTCCGAGCCCTCCGCGTGCCATTAGCAAAATACCACGGGCCGGGCACGCCATGCTCAGATATTGCAAAACGCGAGCGACAAAGAATTCGCGGTGTCAGAAGCAGGCGCTTCCCCTCCTCCTCTCCGTCATCATCATCGTCATCAGTATCATCATCGTCATCATCATCATCATCATCATCATCAGCAGCATCAGCATCATCATCAGCATCCACATCATCATCATCATCATCATCATCATCATCATCATCATCATCATCATCATCATCATCATCATCATCATCATCATCATCATCATCATCATCATCACCATCAGCATCATCATCATCATCAAGATACCACCTGAAACTCGTCTGTGTATGTGCCGTCGTCCAAGCAGATCTTGACGCTACTCGGCACCCCCTGATCTCTGAAGGTTGTCATATACAGACCACTGGATTCGGACCCCAGTGTGCAAGAGCCCCATACACAACTGGCCCCATGTCCAAATGGCCCTGGGTACTGATCGCCATCGGTGGCCGCCACTTTCACCCAGCTCGCCTTCGAGGCGTTGTGTTGGACGACGATGGCGTGGGTCGAGGGTGTCGATATTATCATCAGGACACCGGTCCATGGCGCCTTCCAGGTAGCCGCCATTGTGTCTCGGCCAGAAACAGCGGGGGGCTTGTGGCGAACAAGGAATTTTCTTTTTGTAGGCTAGATAGGTGCAATGCAAGTGTGGATCAGCCCTTCAGTTCGTGAAGGAGTTGTCGAGCCACGCGGGCTACCACGGCTCGAACCAGAGTGGTTACGGAACGTCGTGGGGGCCTTTTGGTACGTTTTGGTATCCTCTTGGATTCCCCTTGGAACCCTCCTGGGCCACCTTGGGCTGGTCTGGTGGGCCTCCCGGGTCGTGCTGGGCTTCCAGAAGCTTGAACAAGTCGAAACGCGGAAGCCCAGCAGGATCGCGCAGGATATCAGTAAAGCTCGCCTCTGCAGGGACTCTCGGGGGTCCTCTTGCGGGCGCGTGGGGCGTCTTGGGGGCTTCGTGGGCCGTCCTGAGGCCATCCTGGACCGTCCCGGGGGCTTCTTGGGACATCTTGAAAGGCCCCTGTCGATGCTGGCGCCGATGCTGGTTCCGATGCTGTAGTCGATGCTGTCTCCGATGCTGGCGCCAATGCTGTTGTCGGTGCCGGTGTTGATGCTGGGGGCAGTGCTCGCGTCGATGCTGATGTCGGCGCTTGCGCCGATGCGGGGGCCGACGCTGACCTCGATGCTAGAATGCGGATGCTGGCGCCGATGCTGAGGTCACCACGTCACCGCTGTAAGCGATGCTGGCGTCGGTGTGGGTTTCGACGTGGACGTTGAAGCTGGCGTCGATGTTGTCGTGAGGGCTGGTTTCGATGCTGGGGTCGGTGGTGGTGTCGATGCTGGTGTGGATGCGAGTTCCAGTGCTGGAGTCGATACTGCCCTCGATGCGCGTGTCGATGCTGGCGTCGACGCTGGCGTCGGTACTGGCGTCGATGCTGTGGTCGATGCTCTCGTCGGTGCGGACGTCGACGCTGGCTCCTATTCTGGAGTCGATGCTGGCGTCGATTCTGGTGTCGTAACTGGCTGCAGTGCTGGGGTTACTACTGTCTTCGGTGCTGGTGCCGATGCTGGCGTCGATGCTGGTGTCGCTGCTGGCCTTGGTGGTGACGTTGGTGCCAGTCTTGGTGGTGTCGCAAATGCTGGCTCCGATGCTGGAGTCAATGTTGTCTTTGTTGCTCGCGTCGGTGCTGGCGTCGTGGTTGGCGTGGATGCTAAAATCGATGCAGGTGTCAGTGCTGGCTCTGATGCTGACGTCAGTGCTGTCTTTGGCGCTGGCGTCGATGCTGGCACGAGTGCTGGAGTCGACGCCGATGCTAGTATCAGCGCTGATGTCGCTTCTGGGATCGATGCTGGCGTCGGCGTTGATGTCGGAGTTGGCCCCAGTGCTGGCGTCAGCCCTGTCTTCGATGCTGGCGTCGATGCTTGCGTCTGTGCTGGCGTCTATGCTGGGGTCGGTGCTGGTGTCGATGCTGGCGTCATTGCTGGCTTCGGTGATGGAAACGGTGCTGGTGTCAATGCTGACGTTGCCGCTGACTCTGGTGCTGGACTCGATGTTGTCTTCGATGCTAGTTGCTAATGTCGATGCTGATGCCGATGCTGGCGTCGGTGCTGGGGCCGGTGCTGGGATCGATGCTGGTGTTGGTGCAGACGTCGAAACTTGCTCTGGTAATGGAGTCGATGATGTCTTCGGTATTGCCGTCGATACTACTGGCGTCGGTGCTGGGGTCAATGTTGGCGTCGATGATTCAGGCATACATAGTCTGCGATGCTGGCGTCGACGCTGGCGTCAGTGTTGGCTTCGGCGCTGGTGTCGAGACTGTCGTCGATGCGGGCTCTGGTGCTGGGGTCCATGCTGTATTCGATGCTCGTGTTGATGCTGGGGTCGATGATGGCTTGGGAATTGGCGTCGATGCTGGGGTTGATGCTGGAATCGGTGCAATCTTGGGTTCTGGCGCGGCCCAGGGTGTTTTCGAACTCAATGGATGCCGCGACCCCCTCCCGCAGCCATGACCTTCACCCCCCTGGTGGTCATCTGGCTTGGTGTTGGCTTCGGCGTTGGCGCCAGAAGCAGAGATGACGTGGGTGCTGGCGTCGGGCTTGGCGTCGGGTTTGGCGTTGGCGCCTGACATGGCGTGGGTGCAAAGGCCAGTCTGGCGGTAGGGTTCGGGCTGGCCCTTGGAGCGGGTTTTGGGGGATGCCAGCCTATCCTTCACATCCCGCTCGCGGTCGCTGTTGTGGTGCTGCGGCTGGCGGCGCTGCTGGTCGCAATCGTGGCGGTGCTGTTGCTGGTCGTAGTTGTAATGCTCCTTGTCGTCGAGCGAGGCGTTGGGTGGTGAGTCGGGCACAGTGTCGAAAAGGGCGTCGGGATTGGTGCTGTTGATGCCGGCGCAAACGTTGGCATTGGTGTTCTCGTAGGCTTTGGCGCTGGCGTCGGCGCCGGCGTAGGTCGATGCTGTGACTGCTGCTTTTCTCTGGCCGAAGAGGATGCTGAGCATGGTGTGGGACTGTGCGATTGCTGCCGTGGCCGACCTGTCGGAGGCGAAGAGCACGATGCCGTAGCTAGAGGACCCTCCGGACTCGGCGGCGAAGATGTCGTAATGGAGGATCGGGCCGAAGAGGTTGACAGTGGCGTACAAGGCGCCGCGTCCGATGCAACGTCCAGGTTCTGCACGCGGATGGTCGACGGTGTAAGTGTCGATGCTGGGACCGATGATGACGGCGGGGTCGATTCAGGCGTCGGCGTGGGCATGGCGGAAGACCACGGCGTCGATGTAGGAGCAGATGGTGATGGTGCAGGTGTCGGAGATGTCGGTGCTGGTGCTGGCGTCGACGATGCAGCGGCCGGGATGAGGGGCGGCAGGATGAGGAAATCTTGGAGGTGGTGCTGATGGTTGCAGTCCTCGTGGTGGCACTGCTGTTCGTAATCGAGATGGTGCTGCTCGTGCTGCTGGTCCTGGTCGTCGGGGTGGCTGCGTACTGCAGCGGTTCGCACGGCCTCAGCAACCGCCTCCCTGAGGTCGTGAACTGTCGGATAAGCGACTCCCAGCAAACGGTGCTTGTGATGCTGTTTCTGGTGGTGGTGGTATTGCTGCTGGTGGCGCTATTGTTGGTCGCAGTCGTGATCGTGGCGCTGCTGGTCGCAATCGTGGTGGTGCTGCTGCTCGTTGTCGCGCTGCTGCGTGGAGGGACTGGTGTAGGCACCGATCTCGATAACTATATACTGGGTCTGGGTCTGCCTAGTCTGTGCTGGTGCTGGCGTCGGCGTGGGAGCAGGCTCTGGCGCGTGTGCTGGCGTGGGCTCCCCATGCGGCGTGGTGCACTTCACGGTCAGGCCATCCACGTTGCCACTCGCCATCAACTATTCTCGATCAGGTCAAGCACGACGTCGTTGACGACGACTCCGAGTGCCGCGCGGCCGCCGCCTCGGCGGCGAGCAGGCGTCGGCGCCGCGCGGCGCGGCGGGCCGCGGTGGCGCCGAAAGTGGCGGCTTTCCGAGCCCTGGGAGGGCTGTGAGGCCGCCGGGATGTTGGGCATCCCCCCGTCTGGGCGGCGTGGGGCCCAGCCCCTCTTCCGCCTCGACTTCCTCCTCCTCCTCCTCCTCCGCCTCCTCCTCCCCCTCCTCCCCCTCCTCCTCCCCCTCCTCCTCCTCCTCCTCCTCCTCCTCCTCCTCCTCCTCCTCTTCCTCCTCCTCCTATTCCTCCTCCTCCTCCTCCTCCTCCTCCTCCTCCTCCTCCCTCTCTCCCTCCTCCCTTCCTCCCCTCCCTTTCTACATCCTGAAAAGCAGTGCAGACAAGAGTGCGCCGCCGTGGGCGACGTCAGTCCCAGGACGGCTGGAAACTTCGTGCCAAAGATGCCATTTCTTACCGCTCCTCGTTCGTCGACGGAGCTCGGCGTGCACTGCGGGGGTCTCCCTCGAACCTCCTTCACCCCCGGGGCCTTGGCCAGCTTGAACATCGAGAGGTCGTCCATCTTGTTCAGCAACTCCTTCGCCATCTCCTCCGGGCTCTTGTTGGCGCCCTCGCCCCCCGGGAACGCGACCTCGCTGGCGGCGCGCACGAGGGATGAGGCGAAGTGGGCGGCCTTTCAAAAAGGCAGGGGGGCTCCTCGGAAGAGACCGGTCTTTCGCAGGGGGCCTCCGAGTTGCGGGGCGCCCTCTCACAAGGACGCGACCCCCCCGCCCTGCTCCCTCGTGACTCAGGCAGTGCCAGAGGGGGGCCACCACTAAAGGGGTCGCCGCCCCTCCAGGAGTCGGACCCCCCCGACCCCCCCAGAAACCCCCCAGGACCTCCAGAGACGGCCACGAATGTCCAACAACTCCTCGATCCTTCCTCCTCCTCGATCCTCGATCTCCGACAGGCAGTGGCGACCCCTCTGCCGACGACCCCCCGTGGCACGTCCTTCGTGTGCTCCGCGGTAAGGACCTCTCGCAAAGGCGGCTGAGCGGCGGCCGCGGCGAGCGCCCGTGTGCCGCTGGGGACTTGGGACTGCACCCAGCCGTGTGGGGTGCCGTTCCGGCGGGGGACGTGGCCAGCGGCGGCCGCGGCGTCCTGGTAGTTGTGGGCGGCCATGGCGGGCCACTGTTCTTCGACGATGGGTCGGAGGGCTCGGTTCCCGTCCCCGCGCCGGCCCCGAGCAGCTCCACTGGAACGGCGCGGCTGTCCTCGCGCCCTCGCACGGGCACCAAGGTTGAAGGGCAACTCTCTGGCCCAGGCAGCAGAAACGCGCGTACGTTTTCGTCGCTCCTGCGGGGGGGACCTGCCGGGAAGCTGGGAGCACACACGGGAGGGCTCGCACGTGAAGCGCCCCGAGGCCACGCGCTGGATGCACATGCGGAAGCCCAGCGTGCCTGGCCCCAGAAGGGCCCAACGCCAGAAGAAGATCTGGCCACTTGTGCATCCAGCTCTCGCCGAGGCTGGTCGCGTCATGCGTAACATCCAGCTTCCTGGTAGACGGGGGGAGGCATAGCCCCTCCCGCTCATCTGTGCGCCTATGTCCTCCTTCTTCTCCTCCTCGTGCTCATCCTCCTCATCCTCTTCCTCCTCCCCCCATTCCGTTTCGTTGTACATAACTTCTCCCTGTCGCACCCCGAGCCCAGTTTTCAGGGCGGGCGTTTCGCCTGAGACTTCCTTACCATTTATGACTCTGAAGCTTAAGAATTGACAACAGTTTCACAGATGGAGGGCGGGTGGTTTTCAAAATGTGGCTCTCGCCTCAGCGCCGCGCGCATTCGTTTAGACAGTTGCAAGAGTTTCACGGATTGAGGGCGGGCCGTTTTCAAAATGTGGCTCTCGCCTGAGCGCCGCGCACATTCGTTGTTACAAACTGCCAGAGTTTCACGGGCTGAGGGCGGCTCGTATTCAAGATGTGGCTCTGGCCTTTGCGCCGCGCACATTCGTTGTAACAAATTGTAAGAATTTCGCGGATTGGGGGCGGTTTCTTTTCAAACTGTGGCTCTCGCTTTAGCGCCGCGCACATTCGTTAAGCAGTTGCAGAACTCTCACGGAGTGAGGGCGGTTCCTTTTCAAAATATCGCTCTCGCCTTAGCTCCGCGCGCATTCGTTTATACAATTTGGAAGCGTTAGCGTACATGAATGGTGTTTTGGAAAGACTCAGGATTATGCGGGTGCAACAGTTATATTGATTCGCGGTGTTTAAAGTCATAAGAATAGCGTTGTCGCACGGTTCCAGATCGTCAAGACGCAGCAGTTCGGTAGATCCGTTGCGTTGATATCCCGAAGACACTGTTTTGGCATGCTTCAGGGTCTTCAAGGGTGTCTTCCAAAGAGGCAGTTCACTCAATGGAAACGAATCGCCGTAAGGGCCTGTGAAGAGGGAGCTTGCAGGGAGGGTTTACTCCAACATCATTGATGACTCTTTGGTTTGCACTGGTCCTCCTCCTCCTCCTCCTCCTCCTCCTCGTGCTCTTCCTTGTCCTCCTCCTCCACCACCTCCTCCTCCTCCTCCTCCTCCTCCTCACTCCCCCTCCCCCTCCCCCTCCCCCCCTCCTCTTCCTCCTTCTCCTCCTCCTCTTCCTCCTTCTCTTCCTCCTCCTCTTCCTCCTCCTCCTCCTCCTCCTCCTCCACCTCCACCTCCTCGTCCTCCTCTTCCTCCTCGACTTCCTCCTCCTCCTCCTCCTCCTCCTCCTCCTCCTCCTCCCTCTCCCTCGACTTCCTCCTCCTCCTCCTCCTCCTCCTCCTCCTCCTCCTCCTCCTCCCCCTCCTCCTCCCCCTCTTCCTCCTCCTCCTCCTCCTCCTCCTCCTCCTCCTCCTCCTCCTCCTCCTCCTCCTCCTCCTCCTCCTCCCCTCCCCTCCTCCCCTCCTCCTCCTTCTCCCCTCCTCCTCTTCCTCCTCCTCCTCCTCCTCCTCCTCCCTCCTCCCCCCTCCCCCTCCTCCTCGTGCTCTTCCCTCTCTTCCTCCTCTTCCTCCTCCTCCTCCTCCTCCTCCTCTTTCTCCTCTTCCCTCTCGTCCTCGTCCTCGTCCTCGTCCTCGTCCTCGTCTCGTCCCCTCCTCCTCCTCCTCCTCCTCCTCCTCTTCCTCCTCCTCCTCCTCTCCTCCTCCTCCTCCTCCTCCTCCTCCTCCTCCTAATCCTCCTCCTCCTCCTCCACCTCCTCCTCCTCCTCCTCCTCCTCCTCCTCCTCCTCCTCCTCCTCCTCCTCCTCCCCTCCTCCTCCTCCTCCTCCTCCTCCTCCTCCTCCTCCTCCTCCCTCCTCCTCCTCCTCCTCCTCCTCCTCCTCCCCCCCCCTCCTCCTCCTCCTCCTCCTCCTCCTCCTCCTCCTCCTCCTCCTCCTCCTCCTCCTCCTCCTCCTCCTCCTCCTCCTCCTCCTCCTCCTCCTCCTCCTCCTCCTCCTCCTCCTCTTCCTCCAGCGCCGACTCGGTCCAAGGCCTTTCGGGCCCGTGCAGGCACGCGCTAGGGCCCCCCCTGCCCCGCCCGCGCCCTCCCCTCCCCGCTTTCCCCGGCCCCCTCCGCACGCCGCGCCCGGGCGGTGCGGGCGCAGGGGCGGGCCACCCAGCACCTCCTGCGAGCCTTCGCGGAGGTGCAGGCGCATGGGGGCCAGGAGCTCCCCCGCCTGGCCCGCCCCCTGCGCCAGGTACTGGAGGCCGACCGTGAACATGGAGCTCATCCCCCTCGCGATCAGCACCCGCGTGACGTTGATCGACCACGAGCCGTGGATCTTCCGCGGGTGGGCCTTCCTCCACCAGTCGTGGGTCTTCAAGCTGGTGCGCGAGCTGACCACGGGGATCTGCACCTCCGAGATGCTGGGGCGCATCTTCGACACGCAGGTGCGGATCCTCCGCGTGAAGCGATTCCTCCACCAGTAGCCGATCTCCCACCATACGTGCTACCACCAGGTGCACCTGTCCTCCAACGTGGAGACCTCCGTGGCGGTGCGCAGCAGTTATCTCAAGCAGGCGCTATAGGTTTAAGAGCTGACGCTCCATATACCGCATCTCCTGCCCAGTCGGTTGCTCTTGGGGCCACGCCTCGTCGTCGACGGCGTGTCAAAGGGGCGCCTGAGCCCAAGGGCGCGGAAGAGGTCGAACACGTGGACGACGATGCATCGACGCTCCATGGGCGTCGATCCTCCGTCCCCTGCGATGAGGCTGCAAGTGGCGTGCCCTTCTCTGTTGGCTCCTCATCATGTTGTGCTGGCGTGGGTCTGGAAGAAGGTGTGCGCGTCCATGACGCTAACACCGAAGACATCATAGGGGCGGAGATGCAGCCCCTCCTCAAGCCTCCGAAGAAGCCTCCTACGGATAATGATGGCAAGGGTGGTGGGCATGACGACGGCGGCTCTGTCATTCCTCCTGTTGTTGCCCAGGTGTCCCAAGTGCCTCCCTCGGAGCTCTCTGATTCAAAGTCGGAGGAGAGGCGAAGAAATGCCCAATCGAAGGCCAGCGACAATCATCCAGTGATGCAGCCAGTCCTTTGTCCTCCCGGTCGGCGCGTGGGAGGTTTGCTGGGACAAGGCGGAAATATCCAAGACGCGCGAGCTGGTGCGGAGACCAGGGCCGCAAGTTTGTTCGATGGCGTTTTCGGGCCCACGGCTGGCGAGCAGGACAAACGCGTTCCAAAACAATTCGCTCAAAATGGTCCCGTGGCGTCTGGGCCACCGAAGGATGAAAGGGCGGGCGTCCATGACGTACCCGCCAAGCTGGGGCCCGTTTCGACTGCCATACCGATCGACTTCGAGGGTGTGTCCACTCCGAGTGCCACTCCTGAGTCGGCGGTCTTGCCGATCAGGCCTGCCGCGCGGCCGCCTGCCTGCGCCCCCGTCGGTGCTCGGGTCACGGGGCAGGGGTCGGGCGGCGCTGCTGCTGGAAGCACCTGGCCTCCGCTTGGAGTGGGGGCCGACATGAACTCCGAGGCTCATATTGTGGAGGTCGACGAGGTCCACGACAGTTTGTGCAGTCTCACTGGTTGAGGCGATGCCAAAGATGAAAGTCATAGGCATGGTGACAAACCGCGCCCAGCTAGCACGGCCCATGGCGAAGCTAGCGGGGTGATGGCCGTGAGCCGAACCCATTGTGAAGCTCGCGGCGCCACTCAGGCGGTGGTAATTAGCCCAGTTGTTCGGGGCAAATATGAGGGCTGCATTCTATCAGGGGCTGCGCGCCGCGAGCTGGCCTCAGGAGCTACCGCTGCTGGTTCATTGACCGGTGCTTCTGGGTCCACCCCTGGATCCACTGAGAGCCTGCGGCAAAACAACGAACCAAAGACGGTCCAGACAGCCCATGGCGAGTCTGACCGCAAAGACGGCGCGTGCCGGGTACTCCGCGAAGACATGAGGGTCCAAGTCGGCGGTAATCTGAAGACAGAGGTGCCAGGTAAGCGACGCCGTGGCCGCCCTCATCTCCACCAAATCCCTGTCGGCTTGTGCGGTACCGTCCGCAAGGTCGACTACATGGTCGGGACGTGCAGCCACGAGGAGGTCTTCGGGGCGCTCGTTGCCTGGGACCTCCCGCTGGAGGGAGGTGTCGACATGACCTTCCATCCTCTCGACGAGTGGCAACATTTCACACGTGTCTGACTTGTTGCTGTTTCCCTCATGCTCGTTACCTGGGTGAGTGACTTGTCTGGGTTGTGGGTCACAGGAAGGAGGACGTCTACGCCCTCCCCGTCACTGGCTTCGCCTGCGGCTCCGTGTTGCTTTCCTACTTCATGCTGGGCGGGATCTTCCTTGACTCGTCCTTCCTCCACACTTTCTTCCACCTTGCCCTCTCCGCCATCGTGGCGTGAGGGCGCCTCGGCGTAGTCCGTCGGGCGCGCGCCAGCGCGGCCAGCGGGAGACGCGCGAGAGGCGCTGCGCTTCTCCTCTTCCTCCTCTTCCTCCTCCTCCTCCTCTTCTTCCTCCTCCTCCTCCTCCTCCTCCCTCAGGAGGAACTCGGGTGGGGCGCCGCCGAGGGACCGGTGCGGTCCAGCCCGAGGCCGAGGCCTTTCCACACAGCGCAGGCGGCGGAATGAGGGCCGACACGGGCTGCGTGCCACTGGTGGAGCGGAATGGGGAAGCACGCGCGCTTGTAAGTCGGCGGCGCAGAGGGTCTCAAGCGCGAGCAGGTGGAGGTGCTAATTGCGATCGGGCATTGTCGAAGGCACAGTGTACGAGAACGTCGCACAGTGAAAAGTTCCAACGATAGGCGGTGTGCTGGATGGACAGTAGTCCCAAGCGTAGACATACAGTGGCCAGAAAGGTAGCACACACGCACACACACACACACGCACATTGGGCTAGCACACGGCCTGAGGATCACAGACGATACTGCGAGAGATGGAGCGATCGCGCTTCGACGACTCTGCGCCAAACGCTCT